TTTTTGCATGGAAATATGTTGTTTTTTTATTGTAGGCCTGTAATTATTAGGAATAACTCACTGAAATCTGTCCGAACAAGAGTCTAGTAAACATCCCGGGTATGATAAAATTTGAAACACGAAATCATAAATTATAATTTAATAATCATAAAAAATAATAATATAATAATACATTTAATTCAATAATGTAATCAAACCAAAAAAACTGAAATTTGAAATAGAGCCCCAAGTTTGCACATCACTGAGCAAAGGCGCAAAATCATTTTCAGTGTCTGATGATGAATTTCCCCACAAATCATCACTCAATTCTGCAAGTGGTTCTAATTTGCTATCGCTGTTCTCTAGCTGGTCTAAAACTGCTTTGGACCAAAAGGGACACTTTTTGGATGCCATGGACATTTCTCAGTTTCCAGGCAGAAAGAACAGTAAAAATGCAGGCAGGGCACAGGACAAAGCACTAGGGACCAAATGTCCCTAGTGCTTTGTCCTAAGTAATGTTTTACTAAGTGATTTTAGTGTATTTAGTGAATGTCACTTTTTGACATTTTTAAATTTCCAGCCGGTTACGTCCCCCTTATGTCCTGATGTCGCAGGGAATGGAACGAAAGACAGATGCCGGCATCGGCCGGAGGAGATGGCTGGGGACGCTGCAGGGGGGACATCGCGGGAGCAAAGGACAAGGTAAGTGCAGAAGAGATCCCAGAGCAATGCTGCAAGGTATTCCCGAGTGTAGCTTGGGTTTACTGCTTGTGGTGCTGAAACTTTACCCCAAGCTACACTCGGGAATACCTCCAGGGAGGTTAATGCAACGATAAAAGCCTGGAGGGCTATCATACAACAAAACAAAGGCATTACGAAAAAGGCTCTGAAGTACCTCCCTCTATCATCACTCAAACTTATCTGTCCGGATCTCTCTCTCTGTGCCTGGACAACAGCTGGAATTTTTTCTCTTTTTTTGTTTTGGTTCATACCCAGGTTAGGATGCACGCCATCTCTTACTGGTGTGCATCCTGTACAATTATAATGTATTACCTGAATGTCATCTGCTAAGAAATGTAATTACAGCAGTTCTAAATGCTTTTATTACTCTGCATCACCTCTTTGTTAAAATTATTAAAATTTTTAAGTGAAAAAAAAAAATAGTCTTTATTCGACACAAAAAAAAAAAGGCAAATGCATGGCCTGATGTGAACACGTGCCTGCAAGCTCCCAATTGGTTGGAAAACCAAAACCATGCTAAGCTCTTTGCTAGCACACGGCTCAACCACATCTGGAAAATATGGGGACTCCAATATCCGTTGCAAGTTCATTCAGGAACAATAAGCAATTATGCACCCCCAAAATCAGCATAGAGGAAAGGGATGGACAAGTTGCTGTGCTGCTTCCAAACCACCTTTGGCATGCCAGGGGGTGTTTATGCAGGTCCTTGATGCCAGTTCTTGCCTGGTGCCACAAAATATCCACTGTCCACAAATCAAGGCGAGTAAAGGAGATGAAGGTGGCATTCTTCCAGCTTGAACCACAAGCAAGACCACTCCTGTAAAATGAGAGCAAAGAATCATTGACATTTCATCATGACAATCACTTCTTAGTGCAGGCTAGTGAGACTGTCTTTTTCATTTCATCATGACAGTCACTTCTTAGTGAAGGCTAGCGAGACTGTCTTTTTCATTCTTTACCATTAAGTAAATATTCTTGGAGCAATTACAGTGTTTGGAAAGGCACAAGGTCCCCCCTACCCCCTACAGTGTTTGGAAAGGCACAAGGTCCCCCCTACCCCAGGCACACTAATGCATACTTGAGCACAGAGGAGGACTGACCATTCCGGTATTGCCCAAGCGCCCAGGGTCAGTAGAGAGCCCGGGGTCAGTAGGGGGCCCAGTGAGAGGCTCACTGGGCACAATTCACTAAGCGGTATCTTACCGCATCTGAGTATGCGGTAGGAAACTGCATAGCATTTAAAACAAAAAAAAGGGGCACATGCGCAGCCGGCCAGCGAATGAGAGCTCACTGATCAGAGCTCCGTCCGCCCGCCAGTGACACCGCGGCACACACAAAGCCCAAATACTGCAAACAGCACGGGCACACTGCTAAGGGTCACAGAACCCTCATAGGACATGACAATGAGGAGAAAAGCAACAGGGCAACCGAGGAAGCTGACAAATTTCTTCCCAGCCCTCGGTCCCTGTGGACAAAATGGCACCAGCTGCGTGACAGGCAGCATCTCCTCACATGAAGGAGACACACAAGAAGGCATAGCATACCACCCAGACCCCAGGTTGAAGGCACCATTATACCCAGGAGACCCGGGTGAGTCCTCTCCTCCCCTGTCTCCTACTATGAAGTAGCCCAGCCAAATCCAGACCTAGACTGGATACAGATGTCCCCACTGACAGACAGCCTACCTCTCTACTTTCAATTCCTGACAACTCTCCATCTTTGAGTCCTATCCTGCCTCTGACCAACCTATCACGGAAATCTTGATGAGAAACATGCTTCTTTCTCTGCGAGAAATGCTCCATAGCGACCTGACGACGACTTTATCCAAAATTTCCAATACAGTACAAAAGCAAGAACAACGCATTCACCATATTGAAAATAAAATAGGAGAAATGTGTACCACACATAATGACCTCATAGATGCACACGCAGACCATGAAACTGAGATTGACCAAATAAACCTCAAACTAGCAGACCTAGAAGATCGCTCTAGATGAAACAACATCAAATTCCGCTGTATACCTGAGTCTATCACAGCGGACGCCATAATCCCATTCATCCAACAATTTATGAAACACATCATCCCTACACTCACGGATGTGGAACTAGCCATAGACTGGGCACATCGAATCCCCAAACCATCATTCTTACCGGCCGCAATCCCCAGAGATACATTGGCGCTCATACATTTTTATCACGTGAAAGAGAGAATAATGTTAGCCGCCAGAAATCCCAATTCAATCCCTGCAGCACATGCAAAGATCAAGTTATTTACTGATTTATCCAAAATGACACTCCGCAACCGTAAGAAACTCATCCCCATAACGAAAGCACTGCGAAACCACAGAATAGAATATCAATGAGGTTTCCCCACGAAACTAACCGTTAAACACCAAGGCAGAATTCACACGATCAAAACCCTAGAAGCAGGTATAGAACTTCTGAAAATGTGGAGCATCATTCTGGTGGACTCTCACCAACCCGCCTCCAACTGGCCGCAACAAATGGACGCAGAATGGTCATGACCTCAAACCGACCTGCACTTTTCAGCCATCCACAAAATAGGTTTTGCTCCATAAACAAATAAAACTGGCAAGCAGCCCTGTATGGACTTCCTAATAGTTCAAGTTGCTTCCCAGCATGATTCCTTTAGCGAATCATGCTTACTCAAGCCTCCATCTTATGTAGTAGCATATAATGCTACCCTTGTTCCTTGTATTTTTTGCAAGTCCTTTTTATTCCTTCTCCTTCCCCACAGTACCAGTCAATTAGTACAAAACTACCCTCCTCATAGTCCTCCAGTTCAAGATGAAAACTTCCTTCCACGACAACGATCGACGTGAACCCATAACAGATTCCCATGGGATGATCGCTACCCATGCCATGAAGAACCCCATTTCTCTCCACTACCTCCAAAACAACATCAATACCTTATTCAAACCACCAACAAAAGAAAAAATTATTAATATATCATTGCTAAATGTTAGAGGCCTCAACTTGCCCTATAAAAGATCCTTACTCTCCAGAGAAGCTCGTTCTCTACAAGCGGATGTACTATTGCTACAAGAGACCCACTTCGCCTCTACTAAAATCCCCAAGTTCAATATCCACCACTATTCCTCAACCTACATGTGTTGACCAGAAGAAAAAAAACGGGGTCATCACAGCCATAAGAGACTCCCTCCAAATTCAATTTATCTCTGAAACAGTGGATACACAAGGCCACTACCATCTATTGATCTGTAAAATCACAGACATTCTATACAAAATCCTTCACCAATGGTACCTAACTCCCGTCAAGCTCTCTACCTACTATCCAAACCACCCCCCTTCTTGCTGGAGACAATGTGGTGAAATCGGTTCAACACTGCACATCCTCTGGTCCTGCAAAACAATTAGATCCTACTGGAATAGCATTTTCAATTTAATTTCTGAAATATCTGGAACCCCGATCACCCCAAATCTTTCTTTAGCACTCCTACATATCGGAATCGAAAAATTTCCACCTAACTCCCGCAACATCATTACCTATGCACTTTTCGCAGACAAAGTTAACATCACTAGACTTTGGAACACCACCAACACTCCCTCTCTCACATCCCTGATCCACGATCTCAATTTTCAATGTGACATGGAAAAGAGATTAGCATTAAATAACTTCTCTCAACATACATTTCATCCTCAATGGGCTCGATGGTTAAGCAATTCAAATTGCTCCATACAACTTTGATAAATAGATCACAACTGATAACATTAACTAGCCCTAGACTGGTACTTCCTCCCCTACCAAGTTACATACCCTCCCTCCTTTCCTCTCCCTACCTTCTCTTTAATACTCCCCCAATACCCCATACACTTCACCAAGTTCAACACACTACCTAGAATACCTCTGATGACATTGTCTTATAGACCTTTACAACACCCCCCAATTTCGGGGGGGGGGGGGGGGGGTACAATACTCATCTCTATACTGTATTACAACATTTTTTTTTTGTTGTTGAACCGTATACCATTACCCTGTTATGTCTTTAAAAACTTAAATAAAAAATATTGAAACTAAAAAAAAAAAAAAGGTTGAATTCACCAAAAAAATGCTGCTAAAATACAGCATGAGTTATTTTATCAAGTCATGCGGTATTTTAGTAGTGAAAACCATGTGTTAATGTTTCAGCTGTCAGCGGGGTTCTCCACTGACAGCTGAATGTAAAAGAATTTCTGGCAATTAAACTAATTAAAACCTTTCTGGGTCTGGTATGGATTTTGAGGGGAACCCCCACGCCAAAGTTAGAAAAAAATTGGCGTGGGGGTCCCCCCAAAATCCGTACAAAACCCGTATTATCCGAGCATGCAGCCCGACAGGTAAGAAAAGGGGGTGCCTCAACCTGGACCATACTAGGCCACATGCCCTCAACATGGGGGGGTGCTTTGGGGCAGGGGGGGCTCCCCCCAAAGCACCTTGTCCCCATGTTGATGGTGACAAAGGCCTCTTCCCCACAACCCTGGCCTATGTTTGTGGGGGTCTGCGGGCTGGGGGCTTATTGGAATCTGGAAGCCTCCTCTAGCAAAGGGGCCCCCAGATCCAGCCCCCCTACGTGAATGAGTATGGGGTACATGGTACCGCTACCCATTCACAAAAAAACTGTAGGAGACAGTCTTTGACAAGTCCTTTATGAAAAGAAGGAAAATAAAAGAATGTTCCCCGAAGTAGATCCAACGTCAATCATGATGCTCGCCACCGCCGCTACCCAAAAAAAAAAGGCTCCACTACCGACGCTGGCTCCTGGCCATCTGACTGCTCCGTTGGCTTGACAGTTCTTAAATATGTAAGTGATGGGGCCACCCAGTGACATCACGACCGCAGACCCCCACAACCACAGGCCAGGGTTGTGGGGAAGAGGCTCTTGTCAGCAGTGGATAGCTGGCATCCCCTGTAAAAAAAAGAAAAAATGTGGTCAAGTAGTAGTATGTAGTAGTAGTAGTAGTAGTCACTAGTATGGTATATGTGTGTCTATTTGTGGCACTAAACCAGGCCAGACATTACACAATTTTCATCTCTGACACCAGGGTTGCCAGACACAGAAATTGACTCATTCATGCATCCCCTAACTTAGTGTGGACAGAGGAATAACATCTTAACAAGCGCCTTGACAGGTTGCTGTACACCATAGTTGTAGCTGGCTATAGTCAGCCTCTACAGTTAGGGTGGAAAAAGCAGACAGGATGGGGGCACAGAAGGGGATTGCTATATTGGCTTGTTGCTAACCAGGGTGTACATACATTGCTTCATAATACATTCTCTCTCTCTTCTTATGCAGTGGAGAACAGAGGGAATGTGATCACCTATTGAAGTTCAAACCGTACATTATTTCTAAGGTTGGTTTCTACCTAGATTTTCTTTGCCTTTCTATATTTTACACTGACCAGCTTTTGTTCAATGTGAATGTCAAAGCACTTTAGGGCATTAAGTCAGTGTTGTAATAAACAGACCTTACTCATCTCTTTTCCCCATTATCTGCTGATGTGGTGCATATATGCATCCTCTTGTATTTGTTTCAGGGCCTAGAGTCCACATCTATGTGACCTTATGTCAACGTTTTGCTGGGCTGAGAGGGAGCTCCCAGCACAGTCCTCAGTGGGGCAGGGAAAGGGCTGGATGTATGCGTGCAAAGGTTAGCTTTATGATCATGTTATTGCTGTGACAGCCATGCACAGAGGGCACATAACTCCAGGGCCTGGCCTTATGTCAACTTTGGTAACATGTATGCAACATTATAGTTCATATGGAGCCACAAACACAACACTTTACCAATAGGCCAGCCAGCTGGCATTTGGCCACTCTTAAACTTCTCGTATACGCCCGACTGCTGAAGTATGAAGGAATCATGGCACTACCTTGGAAAACCCATCTGAACACTTATGATATGCTGTCTGATGTCACAGATAACTTGGATGTTGAGGGAGTGGTACTGCTTATGGTTCCGATAGTCCACTTCATTTACCCTGGAGGCTCTGTCACGTGTGTGCAAGCTATGGCCCCCCGGATTTGTGGTATTTGTCCACGGTGGTAAAAAGCCACGTTCACGTCATTCCACTTGCCTTCATTTTGTGACTAGTGAATAAATTGGGGCACCAGGTCAAGAATGTCATCTAGGACCTGCATAAACATCCTGGACACAGTTGGTTGACTTATCCCAACAATAAGTCCAGAGGAGTTTGGAAGCTGCCCCAACCCAAGATATACAGAGTTGTCACTAACTTGACCATCCCAGGTGTAGCATGACTGCGCCCTGTGGTGTGCGCAGTTTTTTCCTCTATGAGCACAATTGCAGCTTGTCCTAAACGAAACCTGCAATATCAGAGTCCCGCATATTTTGTACATATGCACGTACTGTAAAAAGTCATGGCCCGGTTATGCGGGCAAAAGGAGCAGGAGCAGCAGCTCGGTGATATGCCGCATCTTCCTGTTCAGCCGCCTCAAAAAATGCTTGAATAAACACTGTAAGTGCAGTATAGAATACTTCATCCTCATCTGCCATCTTCACCCACGGGGCTGAGAGCGTACTCGCGCATATATATATACCCACCCAGAAATCGCACACGTACAGACGCCAATGGTGAATTTACTATAAATAGGATGCACATGGAAATCTAACGTTCTCTCAGAGCACCTATGTGGACAAACTTCACTAGAGGTACGCTTACAATGTTGTTAGAGAATACATTACTGACATTCTTAGCTACAAACAAAAAATTATTGTTATACAGTATTTATAATGTGCTATACAACACTATTACCTGTAGACAAATGTATCCTTCTCTACATATTTGGCCAATCCTGTTTTTTGTATGTGTGTTTTTAATTTAGCTAATTTTCAGCTGCCTATAGCACCTGTAGTGTGTCAGTAGACCACAAAACATTTACTTATGTTCTAATGTGTTGTTTGCGTGGCCAAACATAGTATTTCTTCCTCTAGACCTGTTAATGTTCCACAGTCGTTAATTTAGTAAATATTAGTGTGGTGCTGACATATTACACCAGGGGGCCACAAATTTATACAACAGGGGCCAGTTTACTGACCTTCAAACTATTGGGGACCAGACTATAGTTTGAAATACATAAGAACAAATTCCTATGCACACCGAACATATCTTATTTTGAATGGCCTGAAACTGGAAAACACCATACAATATTTAAAATGCACTGTACACTATAACACATTGTGCTCTGTAACGCACTGTACTTTGTAACGCACTGAACACTGTAACGCACTGTACTCTGTCACACGTACTCTGTAATGCACTGTAAACTGTAACACACTGTAAAGTGTAACGCACTGGACTCTGTAATGCACTGGACACTGTAACACACTATACTCTGTAATGCACTGGACACTGTAACATACTGTACACTGTACCACACTGCACTCTAAAACACACTGAACACTGTAATGCACTGTAAACTGTAACACACTGTAAACTGTAAACTCTAATGCACTGGACTCTAAGGCTCGATTGACATCTGAGCACAGCGTTTTTAGCCGTTTTAAGCTTTGGTGGTTTTTTATTAGCCGATAGAGAAAAATGGGCTGCCGAATCCCTAACAACCTATGAGTAATCAGCTGTCAGCGGAGTTCCCCACTGACAGCTGAATGTAAGAAAAAAAAAAAAAAAAGACGGCAATTACAAAAACTTACATGGGGTCCCCCCTCCATCCATATCAAGTCCTTTGGGTCTGGTTAGGATTTTGAAGGGAACCCCCACACCAAAATTATTTTTAAACATGGAGTGGGGTCCCTTATCTGAGCATGCAGCCCAGCAGGTCAGGAAAGGGAGGGATGAGCGAGCGCCCCCCCCCCCCGAACCATACCAGGCCACATGCTCTCAACACGGGGGTGTGGTTTTGGGCAGAGGGGGCTCCCCCCTCAAATCATCTTGTCCCCACGTTGATGGGGATGAGCGCCTCTTCCCCACAACCTTGGGCTGTGGTTGTGGGGGCCTGCGGGCGGGAGGGCTTATCAGAATCTGGAAGCCCCCTTTAGCAAGGGGGCCCCCAGATCCCAGCCCCCTACACTATGTGAATGAGTATGGGGTACATGGTACTACTACCCATTCACAAATAAAAACTGTAGTGTGAAAAAAGACAGGAGACAGATTTTTAATACATTTTTTGTTACTGCTTTGATGCTACTATTTATCTAATATATCAATGTACCCTTACATGTTTAAGAACTGTCAAGCCAGCGGAGCAGTCAGATGGTGGGAGCCAGCTTCTGAAGCGGAGCCTTTTTTACTTCTACTCCTACTTCGGGAGACATTCTTTTATTGTCCTTTTAATATAGGACTTGTCAAAGCCTGTCTCCTGTCTTTTTTCACACTACAGTTTTTTTTTGTGAATGGAAAGGGGTACAATGTACCCCATACTCATTCACATGGGGGGGGCTGGGATCTGGGGCCCCCTTGATTCCAGATTCCGATAAGCCGCCAGCCCACAGACCCCCACAACCACAGGCCAAGTTTGCGGGGAAGAGGCCCTTGTCCCCATCAACATGGGGACAAGGTGCTTTGGGGTGGAGGAGTGAGGCCCCTGCCCCAAAGCACCCCCCGTGTTCAGGGCATGTGGCCTTGTATGGTTTGGGGGGGCGCTCACTCTCCCCTCTAGTTTTTTGACCTGCCGGGTTGCATGCTCGGATAAAGGTCTGGTATAGATTTTGAGAGGGGCCCCATACTTTTTTTTTTTTTTTTTTGGGCGTGGGGGTTCTACTCAAAATCCATACGAGATCCAAAGGGCTTGGTATGGATGGAGGGGGGGATCCCACACCTTTTTTTAAATATTTTTTAATTGCAGGCAATTCTTTCTTTTACATTCAGCTGTCACTGGGGAACCCTGCTGACAGCTGAAACATTAACGCATGGTTTTCACTACTAAAATACTGCATGACTTAATAAAATAACTAATGCGGTATTTTAGTAGTGTTTTTTAGTGAATTCAGAGTTATTTTTAAAAAATGCTATGCGGTGTATATAGGCTACATACTCGAATGTGGTAAGATACCGCTATGTGAATTGTGCCCAATATCATCTATTGCATCATTTGTTGCTAGGTTTTGGGAATAAAACCGTGCAAATCTGCCCAATTTGAGCTACAAATGTATTTCTAAAACTTTTTTAAGCTTCAGGCATTTTACTTCAGGGGACTTGGAGTGGAGATGTGAACCATCTCCATAGAGTAATATAAATTTTTTTTCCCCTGAGCGTTTTGTGCTACAAAACGCTCAGGTGTGAATGCAGTATAATGCACTGTACACTGTAGCACACTGTACTCTGTGATGTACTGTACACTGTAATGCAGTGTACCTAGTGTGCTCTCCTCCTCCTCTCCTGTTGCTCCTCTGGCTGCATAGAAATCAGCAAAAAAGAATAAAACAGGGCACACTCTCCTTGTACATTACCGTGATATACAAATGCATACTCACAAATCAAAAATGTCATAAAAACAGAGACAAGGAGCCAAAGATGACTGTTCCAGACTGCGGGGTAATTTGGTGGAAAATGCTAACACATTTTGAGAGTCGAACTCCCTTCCTCAGAGCTGAAAATCTTATACATATTGATGGTTCATATATAAGGGACCAAATGATAAGGGAAAGCTAACCTCACCCCCTCTGTGCAAAAGATAGGGGTGGAGCCTACCAGGTTATGCCCAAATGAAGAGTCATCTTAGGGTCATATTAATGTGTCAGTGGCGCTCAAGGTAATCAAATCGAATCCCCATCTCAGAATGAAAAATTGCTAGTGAAGGTATTGTTGAAGTACATGCATATTAAATGCAAAACTAAGAGATCACTGTACAGGTAGACTTACCCTGCCGCAGAGTGGTTGCAGGGGCAAAGGATGATGGCAATGGGCCGGCCATAATGATGTCCTCTATGTGTGTGAGCACGTTATGGATGTAGTGTCTCCCGTTGCTCTGGAAGGATGTGTACTATTTGATACTGCGCATGCGCACTGTACAAGAGTGTCAAGAGCGCATGCGCGGAGGCCTTCACCACTCGCCAGCCGCTTGACGGAAGGGGATCAAACTGAGGGCGGAAGTGTGCAAAGGCGAAGGCCCGGAGCTAGCAAGTGCAGCGTTCTCTTATAGAATGGATGTTGTAGAACAAAAATGCGGAGTACTGGAAAAACCATGTACCATATTTTTCGCTCCATAGGACGCACCTGACCATAAGACGCACCTAGGTTTTAGAGGCGTAAAAACAAGAAAAAAAAATATTCTGAACCAATGGACTGCAGACAAAGTACAGGAAATTGTTGTTATACAGGATTTATATAGCGCCAACAATTTGCTCAGCGCTTTACAACGGGAGACAATACAGCAACAATACAGTTCAATACAAGAGGGATTTGAAGGCCCTGCTCCTTGAAGCTTACAATCTAGGAGGGAGGGGCTAGTGGTACAAAAGGTAGTAACTGTGGGGGATGGACTGGTTGGAAGAGTAGAAGATTCCAGTATTAGCTGAGGGCAGGATAGGCTTCCCTGAAGAGATAGGTTTTCAGAGATAGCCTAAACGTGAGCAGAGTAGGCGATAGTCTGATAAATTGGGTAGAGAGTTCCAGAGGACGGGGGAAGCTCTTGAGAAGTCCTGGAGACAAGCATGGGAGGAAGAGATCAGGGAGCCAGAAAGTAGGAGGTCTTGCGAGGAGCGGAGAGTACGGTTTGGGTGATATTTAGAGACAAGATCAGTGATGTAATTTGGGGCAGAGTTATAAATGGCTTTATACATTATTAGTTTTTTGAATTTTATCCATTGGGCAACGGGAAGCCAGTGGAGGGATTGGCAGAGAGGGGTGGCAGATACAGAACGGTTAGTAAGGTGGATGAGTCTGGCAGCAGCATTCATGATAGACTGAAGAGGGGATAGCCTGTGATGAGGTAGGCCAATGAGGAGGGAGTTACAACAGTCAAGGCAAGATATAACAAGGGAGTGAATAAGTTGCTTAGTGGTTTCCGAGGTTCGGAATGGGCGTCTCTTGGAGATGTTGCGGAGTCTACAAGATTTGGACAGCGATTGGATTTGGGGCTGAAAGGACAGATGGGAGTCTAGGATTATACCTAGTACCCTGGCATGTTTGGAGGGACTGATGATTGTGTTATTGATCTTGATGGAGAAGTCAGGGGAGGGGGCACGGGCTGGAGGGAATACTAAGAGCTCGCCAAGTTTTGGAAAGACTGAGTTTGAGGAAGTGGAGTGACATCCATGCCGATATGTCAGTAAGTTAGTAATGCGAGTGGAGACTGAAGGGGTGAGGTGAGGGGTAGAAAGATAGATTTGTGTGTCATCAGCATAGAGATGGTACTTAAAGCCATGGGAGTTTGTCAAGTTACCAAGGGAGGAGGTGTAGATGGAGAAGAGTAGGGGTCCAAGGACAGAACCTTGAGGGACCCCTACAGAAAGAGGGAATGCAGAGGAGGAGCCAGAGTTATAGGTAATGCTGAAGGAGCGCTGTGATAGGTAGGAGAAGAGACAGGAGAGAGCAGGAGGTCTCGGAGGCCAAGAGAGTCGAGTATTTTGAGGAGGAGGGGATGGTTAACAGTATCAAAAGCCTCAGAGCGATCAAATAGTAAGAGTAGTGGCCATTGGTTTTAGCAGTTAGTAGATCATTAGTGAGTTTTAGTAGGGCAGTTTCAGTGTAGTGAGTGAAAGCCAGACTGTAAAGGGTCAAGAAGGTTGTTGTCAGTGAGGTGGGAGCTCAGGCGATTGTAGACTAAGCGTTCTGGGGGTTTAGAGGTAAATGGCAGCAGGGAGATGGGTCTTAAGTTGTTCAGGTTGTTGGGGTCCAGGGAGGGCTTTTTAGGTATGGGAGTGATGTGCGCATGCTTTAGAGGGGAGAGGAAGGCAGCGGTAGAGAGGGAAAGATTGAAGATGTGAGTGAGGGAGCATAGGATGGAAGAAGAGGGTGACCGTAGTAGTTGTGAGGGGACAGAAGCCAGGGGGCAGGTAGTGAGACGGGCTTCTGAGAAAACCTTAGTGACTTCTATGGTAGTAGCAAGGTCAAAAGAGGAAAGTGTTGAGGGAGGTTTAGTATATGGTATGCTAAGTGGGATGGATGTCTGTGCAGTGGCAATGCCCCTACGAATTGTGTCAGTCTTGTATTTGAAATGATCTGCAATCTCGTGAACAGTGAGTGAGGTACTGGGTGGAGGTGGAGAAAGTAGAGAGTTAAAAGTAGAGAAGAGACAACGAGGACTGGATGACAAGGTATTAATAGGAGTGACAAAGTAGGCTTGTTTGGCAGCATGAAGGGAGGACTTGAATGTTAAGAAAGCAGATTTATATAGGGTGAATGCTTGTTGAGATCCAGTGCATGACTATGTCGTTTAAGTTTTCTGGTGTCGTCAGTCTGCCACGGTTGTAACGGTCGGGGCCTGATGCTTCGTGTTGTTAGAGGAGCAAGTGAGTCTATTGCAGATGAAAACAAACTGTTATAGACAGCAGTGGCCAGGTCAGGGCAGGACAGGGGAGAGATTCTGTCATAGAGTTGGTCAGTTGCAGAGTGGAAAGGAGCAGGGTTCAAGTTGTGAAGGTTTCTGTGGGTAATTGTTTGCTGCTTGGAGGGATAGGTGTTTGAAGACGAGGAGACTGTGAAGGTGATGAGATTGTGATCATAGAGAGGAAAGGGGGTGTTTGTGAGGTTGTAGAGAGTGCAAAGATGGGAGAAAACAAGGTCTAATGTATGCCCATCAGAGTGAGTGGAGGACGGTATACACTGTGCTAATGAAAAAGATGAGGTTATGTTGAAGAGTTGGGATGTAGCCGGGTTGTTGACATTAATAGGGATGTTAAAATCTCCGAGAATGATAGTAGGTAGTTCAGAGGAGAGAAAGTAGGGTAGCCAGGTGGAGAAATTATCAAGAAAGCGGGACACCGGTCCAGGAGGCCGATAGATCACTGCAATCCTCAGAAATGGGAGAAAACAGCCGGATGCAGTGAGTCTCGAAAGAAGAGAAGGATAGAGAGGGAGGGTAAGGGAGGACTTG